CCTATAATTATCATCATTTTTATAATGAACAATTGAACATGCATATAGATGCATCCCACATAGCAACATTGTGTCAGCCCAGATCCGGCCCACATGTGTAATGATGGCACTTGGGCGGACAGCACCTGTTTGCCAGATCTGGGCCACAAGCAGGCCATAGCAATGCCACATGGTCAGCCAGAGCAAAGAAATAAGCCAGAACTGGACCTTATCTGAGCCACAAAATCTAAATGTAAATATGAAGCCATATCAGCTGTAATAAGCCTGTTAACAAGCAGAATCACTGAAGGAAAGAAGAGAACAGAAAAAGAGACGAGCAGAAACACAAGAACTACAACTGACTTCAGCCACAGTCTTAGATGAAATCAACTGAAGAGAAAAGGAGACATTAAATCTGTGAAGATCTCAGCAGAGGAGGATTAAACAACTCCACAAACAGCATTACCAGCTTCACTTATTACTGACCAGATTTACTTTATTTCTGTCAGACATCTACAGAAGTTCTTATTGAGAAATAACAGAGGTTTAACTCTATTGTGTTTCATTTGAAATCACCACAATGGTGATCAGTGTTTCCATTAGTTGGCCTCTAAACTCTTATATCTTTTGTCTTTTCTGGCTGCTGTCTTTGTCAAACAGGCATTAAAGTGAACCGCAATTTTCATTAGCACAAAATCAAATCATGTTTAACCTCACCAAACTGCGAAAGTTACAGATAGAAATTCGTCCAAAAAACTTGACCCTTCTTGACATCATTCCCTCATTATCTCTATTGCTCTGCATTACAACCTGTTTGTGGTTGCAGTGAGAAAATGAAGAGGAAGGGTGACAAACAAACGTGTCACTTTCTCACGACCCACCTCTCAAATCCTTTTTTGAGTTTTAAGAAACCCATCGCTGGCCTATAGTGTGTGTTGACTAAACGTCAGCCTTTAAACACAGATGCAGAGAATGATAATCAGATGATAGCAGTCCTACAATGGCACATTTCATTACTGGAAGTGTAATTTACAGTGAACAAAAAGAAGCACAAACACACTTTACAAGCGAACCATGTGTTGGTTTTAAGTGCTAAAACAATAGATATTGAACATGAAGACCGAATCGAAGATGAATTGACTTCATGCACTTTCAGTTTGTCAGTGTTCAGTTTCAGCTTCATGGGTTTCAGTGTCATGACACATATATAAAACATGTATTTTGATCAAATAAAAGCAGACGATAACTTGGTGAATGGAATGAAAGATGTCATATAGCATGAGAACATTTTCATAAGACCGTCTGAAAACCCCTCAACGCGTTTTCGGCGTGTCATGGAGTCAGAATGACTGTATCTGAATGGCCTTTCCATGACCCACGACCTCCTCGGCCTGGCACCATTTGCTCTCATCTTTTTGGGCTTTCTGTTGTCTGTCGAGTGAACTAGAGTAGGTGTGTATGGAGGTGTGTGAATCGCGCTGCTCGACCGTACTCAAGATACTCACAGTTTCACTGCGGGCACCGGGCGATGACATCATCAGGCATCACAGACTCTTTGTCTCTCCGTTTCATCTATAAGATGGAAATCTGGCGCTGTGTTTGCAGAGAGTCACATCAGACAGCTTCTACTGAAGCTCAAGACAGAAGATCTTCGAGACATTTCCACTTCAGGTGTGATCATGTTGCGTGATGAAACCAAACAAACACTAAGAATGAAGATGATTCATTCCTAGACATTTTAGATCATTTACATAATATGATACATTTATGATAAGCTGAGAAAAAAAATCACTGTAACAGTGTTATTTTATTTTATCATTAAGATTTAAGATTATATTATTCCAGTTTAAGACTTATTTGTTTATATATATATATATGATCATTATAATAAGTCTCAATCTTAATGTTAAAATAAAATAACACTGTATATGTATGTATAAAAAAAATGGTTCTTCAGCAGTTCTTCAGGGGTTCTTTGCGGTGGTCATGGTGCTATATAGCACCACTACCATTTAAAGAACCTGTTAAGCCCAATTTGGTTCTTCAGCGGTTCTTCAGTGGCACCTCTCAAGGTTCTACATAGCACCATTTGACAAAGATAAGTGCTATATGGCACTTAAAGTGGTTCCCCTATGATTACAAGCCAATGAACCACTTTTAGTGCTATTTAGCACCATTTTTGTTTAGAGTGGAGTATATATATATAAATAAACACTATAATAATTCTCTACATATATATATATATATATATACACACAAATACATGCATGCATGGACTATATATATAAAATCACACACAAGCACAAATTTTATAATTACATTTTTTTTTTATTTCAGTTGTAGTTTTAGTTATTTTACATAAAGTTAAACTAAATGAAAATGAGAAATGTTGCTTTGCCAACTAGCTGAAATAAAATGTAATTGTTTCATGTTTTTTTTTGTTTGTTTTTTGCATCTCCTCAAATCCAACCAATAAAGAAATAAAAGAGAGTATAAATATAATAATATAAAAAATAAAATAAAGCCATTTAAATTAAAATATGTAATTTCTAGTGATCAAACTCTAAATGTATCATGCACGTTTTAATTAAAAATGTTTTCTTTTAAATTAAATTAAATGTGTGCAAAAAAATGTCAGGCAATTGAAAGTATAGAAAACCTTCAGAAAACAGATAAAAGTAGCCTATCAAACGCACTGAAATCACGAGCTGAATGAACAATGAACACTAAACGGTCATTGGTAAATTCATGAGTCTTGCTGTGTCTGATTGGGAGTTTAAGTTCTTCAAAGCGTCACAGCCAAAAGATGGTCTGGACACACAAGCACAAATCTCAATAGTTTTTTACCGAGCCTCTAAATGCAGGATTGCTGTGAATCTCAGGCGGGGCGCTTGGACGCAGGTTTTTCGGGGAAACCGCATGCAGGCCAGAAGCTTCTTCTAAAAGCCGCATATAGAGGCCTGGTGAAGAACAGGGTGTGTGCAGTCCTGCCCATTCACACACACACACCCTGCTGGTTCAGAGAGTCGAGAGGTGTCAAACCACACGTCCGAGAGGCGCGGAGATGGACGCTTTTTCTGTCACATAAACACGGGCTGCTCGAGATGAACGCGCGCAGCACAGGATTTCTCACAGATACGCATTTATACACACGAGAACATTAATGCTGAAACATATATAGTTCAGGCTGCGTGAATCTGTGCTGAAGTCACCTTTATTTATATAGCGCTTTTTACAATACCGATTGTTTCAAAGCAGCGCTGACTGTAAATGATTTCTGTTGTTACTGTAGATTTTCAATGCATTCTGGGAAATTATCAGTTACTGTAAATCTAAATACAGCAGTGCAAATTGACCGAGAAAAACACTACACAAAATTTTGCTACTGGGTAATTGTTGCCTATAAGTTACTGTTATTTTGACAATAAATTTTTTACAGTGAGCTTTACAGAGATAACAGGAATATAATGCAACAAAGTTTGTTTCCAGAAGAAAATAGCGTCACAGTCCAGCTTGAGTAAGTTCCGTGATGTTTCATTTTTGTTGTAAACAAGTTATTAATTTAGTTCATTTATATATAGCCACTCTGGAGAAAACCGTGATGTCATCGTCCAGTTCAGTTCTCATATAATGGTGTCAATGCAGGCAGATCAATAATATTGTTGAACATTAAATTAAATGATACATTTAATGTCCCTAACTGAGCAAGCCAAAAGCCAATAGCAACAAAGGTAAAAAAAAAAGTTGAACTCTCACCAAACTCAACAGCTTGTCAACTCAGGCCTTTGGCACATCCGTTTCAAGTTATGGCGATCAGATTGCATGATAGATTTTTAATAACATAACTCAATTTGAAGTGATGTATCTGTAATGAGTATATATTGATAAAGCAATAAGAAAGTTGAAATTCTAGTGCTTAAGTTTAGATAGTCTACTTCAAAAAACCAAACAAGTGAAAAATAGAATTGTGTTTCTGTGGCAGCATATTAAAAATGCAAAAAGCAATGTTCAAGTGTTTATGAGCTGCTTAATTCATTAAATGTAATTAAAATTAAAAATTTGTTATATAACTTTATATACATTAATTAATTTAAATAAATGAATCCATAAAAAGATGATCCCATGATGGAACCCCAAAGGTTCATGATGCATCTGACGAAACCTTTAAGGTTCCATATAGAACCTTTTATAAAAGAGTTTAAGAACTAAATAGAAAAAGCTCAAACAATTCACAAGTGTTTCCACCATTCACGTGAGCTCATCAAATATAAAATTATCCTTTAATTTAAGTATGTTTGTTCTATTTATGAAATATGACACTGTGTTCTGCAGCATCCACCTCCATTTCTTTGTATCTTTCTCTTTAATTTAAAGAACAAGGTTTGCATTCCCTTCTAAAAATGTTAATTGATTATTGACAAAACGGCATCAATCTTTTTCTGAAATATTTGATGAAAATCCTTTTAGTTTTCACATAAATCTTTCCGCGTGCGTCTCAATCTGATGTGTGGGCTTTTTGTAAATCCCCGGTGCGAGAAAACTAAAAATGTGTGACAAGATGATATTCGGGGAAACAGGGGTTTCCTGCACAACTACATTATTTGCATATACATTTTTAATGAAATATATTATTTAATAAAATGTATTTAATTCTATATTTCTTTCTTTTTTTATTTTCAGTTTTCAAGTTGCTTCTACAAACATGTAAGTTTAACTTTCAAAAAGTGGCCTTGTGATTGAAATTATACACAAAGATCTATCATTTTAAGTCAATTTGACTAAACATAATCCAGGACATAATTTTTGCTTTCCAAACAAAATCATAAAACTACAGTAAATGAATTTCTCAAAGCTTTGGCGTGTCTAAACTCATGTAAAGTGACTCGTGAGCGCCGCCTGCTGTTCACATTTGCTGCACTGCTTTGAGAGGAACGTGTTTGTTCTCGAAGACCTGAAGAAGAGTCCTGAGTAAACACAGAAAACCTGACATTCACATATATATTTCATGTTGTTATTTCTGTGTATTGCCTGTGAATCCAGCGGCTCTCTGTCGTGTTGTAATGTGAATGAGCCCATTATGTCCAGGTTGCCATGGAGACCTGAAAGCTGCTTTGGGGCCCGTGTGTGTGAGAATAGGGAAGAGTTAGTGTACGAGAACAAACCAGCCCGCACCGGACCGGGGCTTTCAACACTGCATGAAGTGTGGCTTCGGTTCTGACGACGTTACAGTGTATCACAGTAAGTGCATTTCTCTAACTTTTAGTATTTTTGCATATAGATGATGTAGTGTGATGAGATTCTGCAGTACTTGGGTTTCTGGATTCATGCGCTCAGCTTTATGTGCCGAATCAGATCTCATTATAGATGCATTAGCAGAAAACATTTTCATTTCAATAGTCTACAGCAAACTACATAACTAAACATAACTTTAGAAGCTCCTTTAGAGATGTTTACTGAGTTAAATCACTAGTGTCCTGCTGTTACTGAGTGATCAGACGCTGTATTTTCACCTGCTGGACCAGAAAACAGCTGGAAAAACCCACAGACACACATTAAAGACTCATTTAGACCAACATATAGAACATAAAATCCCATTATCACCATATAACCACATAGCAGCGCACTAACAACCACCCAAAACATTGAAGCAACCGCATAGTAACACACTAACACCCAATCAGAACACCCTGGCAACTGCATAACAATATAATAACAACCACCCGGAACATTGAAGCAACTGCATGGCAACTAACACCCTAGTACCCATATAGCAACACACTAACAACCAATCGGAACACCCTGGCAACCACATAGCAACACACTAACACACTACTAACCACATAGCAACGCACAAACAACTACCCAGAACATCTAAGCAACTTCATAGCAACACACTAGCACCCTAGTAACCACATAGCAACGCACTAACAACCGTGTGTTATGTGGCATAACAACAACCCAGAACATTGAAGCAACTGCATAGCAAAGCACTAACACCATAGTAACCACATAGCAAAAACTAACAACCAATCGAAACACCCTGGCAACCGCCTAGCAATGTAATAACAGCCAACCAGAACATCGAAGCAACTACATAGCAACACACTAACACCCTAGTAACCACTCAGTAACACACTAACACCCAGTAACTGCATAGCAATGCACTAACAACCACCCAAAACATTGAAATAACTGAATAGAGACACACTAACAACACCCTAGCAACCACAAAGCAACACACTAAAAAGCACCCAGAACATCAAAGCAACTGCAAAGAAACACATTAACACACTGCACAGCAACGTTATAACAACCACTCAGACCATTGAAGCAAATGCACAGCAACATACAAACACCCTAGTAACCACATAGCAACACACTAACAACCAATTAGAACACCCTGGCAACTGCACAGCAACGTAACAACCACCCAGAACATTGTAGCAACTACATAGCAACACACCAACACCCCAGTAACCGCATAGCAATGCACTAACAACAACCACCCAAAATCCTGAAGAAACACAAATAGCGAGACATTAACAGCCTAGTAACCACCCAGAATATCAAAGAAACTACTAAGCAATAACACCCTAGTAACCATGAAGCAATGCAATAGGAACTACCCAGAACACTGAAGCAACTACATAGCAACACACCAACACCCTAGTAACCACATAGCAACGCACTAACACCTTAGTAACCGCATAGCAATGTAACTAACAAACTCCCAGAACATCAAACAAACAGTTGCTGTTTGCTTTTAGATTCTTAGATCTGATGCAGTGTTGAATTGATTGAATGTGGTTTCTCCTCTCTCTCCGACTGTAGATGTTCACTCTGTCTGAGCTGTGGTCGGGCGGCGAGCGTCAGGGCAGTTATAAGCTTCTGAAGCCGTGGTGGGAAGTCTTCATGGACTACTTGCTGGTGCTAATGCTAATGGTGTCTATCCTCGCCGGGACTCTTCTGCTGTCCCGGGACGGAGTCGTGTGCGTCCCCGTTCACTCCTTCTCCACCAACTACAGCTCTACTATGGAGCCCATGTCTGATTTCGTTTACACAGGTGCCAAACAGTCTCTCGGGAGTCCAGCAAAGGGGCGACGTACCAACTTGGACTTCCAGCAGTACGTCTACATCAGCCAGGTTTGCTATCACGAGGCGCTGCCCTGGTTCTCGCGCTTTCTACCGTACGTGACGCTGCTCCACACGCTGGTTCTGCTGGCTAGCGGCTGCTTCTGGTTCCACTTCCCGCTCACGTCCGCTCGTATCGAGCACTTCCTGTCGCTCCTCGCCAAATGTTGCGAATCACCCTGGACGACAAGAGCGCTTTCGCACACGGCCAAACTGGACACTCGCTTTTCGGAGGCGGAGCAAGTAATGCGACCCAAAGTTCAGGTAACATCTTCGTACAAAATGCGCAAGTCGAGTTTGGACTCGGGAACGGACAGCCCTCTGCTGGCGGGAACTGATAGTGCATCCACTACGACACAACCCTCTCCATGTCCCTCCACTTTATCCCACTGCTCCACGCTCTCCGCTCGGTCGCTCAAGGAGCCGCTTCTGCCGGCGCAAGTCGTCCCGGACGGGTCCAGACCGGGAGCCACATTGGACCGCAGCGACAGGGAGCAGGCCAGAGCGCTGTTCGAGAGAGTGCGCAGGTTTCGCGCTCACTGCGAGAGTTCAGATGTTATCTATAAGGTAACCTATAAGTCAGTTCTTCAGGTTTACAGTTTTGTCTTATTATTAAAGAGCATATTGCAGGTTAAAAAAAAAACTAAATTAATATATAACCTTGTATGAAAATACCATATGAAAAGTTAATGCAGGATTTAAAATGTTTTAAAACGACATAAGGGCACTAATTTAGTAGATAAAGTGAGCGTTTCTTGGACTGCTCGTAAAAACGGCTTTTTTTTTTCAAACTCGCGTCATTTTACGTCACGCTAGGGAGCCTCAGTGCAGAGTAGGCTGGTGTTCAGTGAGAGCGGCCGTGAGTCAGTGTGTTTTCGGTAGTTTTTGTATTTTAATTTATCATCGTCATGGTAAATTATTGTTTGTGGAGGTTGCAAAAACTCCGGCCTGTCTGGACATAGAGTCCACAGGTTTCCATAACAAGAAAAGGGACGGTGTTGGTGTATATCTTTCGTGCCTGGTGCGGTGTGTGCAGGTGAAGAGACAGGATTTCTCTTCCGCATCGGCTTCGAGAACCGCGGTCGTGTGTAGCGTTCACTTCAGATCGGAGGATTATCATCCCGGCGATATGATGGAGTTCAACATGGGATGCCGAAGCAAAAATATTGATCGTCTAATACTGTACCAATGGCATGAAATAGTGTGATATAGGTAGTCATGCCCTAAATAGAGGCTTGTAATTGAAAAACAAAATTACTCAGGTTGTTTAAATATTCAAATCTTTAATTTTCTGTTTATGTTATAACCCAGGTGAAAAATTTGTATTAAAAATGTACTTGGGTATGTTTTTTAGTACAATAGAAATACTCAAGTATAGTTTTTTATACATTTAATAGTATAAATCTACCCTAAAAATACTAATGTCTGCTGGCCTGATATACGATGGTAATAATCTGTACAATATTGTGAGCACAGTGTATATCGTTAGCGAACGTGTATATCTATAAGCACGTCTCTCACCAAGACACCTGTCCTGTTCTCCACTGGTTCTCCTCACACCACAACTCATGGTGTCTCTGACCGTTCTGTCTGACATTAGTCCTGGCCTGTCCCTGCTCTCTTGGCAGCATAGCAGGCTCATAATTGTATGGCTGTGGTCCGTCATACGAGTAAGTACTTCCTCAGCGTTCGAAATGTCATTGCGATTCATTGTTTTCCTGTTGTTTGAATCGACCGCTCTCCCGCCCGTTACGTCACACCCGCCATGCCCATTTTCAGACGCGGAAGTAAAATTTTCTCACAAAAACGACTCCAGAAGCTTCTGTAGCGTATTTATAAGTATATTTTAAAGAAAATCTAGTTCCTACACTATTTTTCTATACATTGACTCGTTGGGTCCTCTAACCTGCAATATGCCCTTTAAATAGGACCTATAGAGTGCTGCAGGTGTGATGTCAAAACCCGGAAGACTACGGGTACGTTTACACGACAACGACAAACTGAGAAGTTTTTCCCTTGAGTTTTCCACGTACAGATGACACCATTGTCAAAACTATTGCCATTCACACAGATCCGCGAAAACGACTAAAAACGCTGTATTCTTCTGCCAGTCCATTAGATGGCAAAATGGTAAATGGTAAATGGACTGCATTTATTTAGCGCTTTCACAGACCCAATGGCCACCAAAGCGCTTTACAATTTGCCTCACATTCACCCATTCACTCTCTCATTCATACACCGACAGGCGACGGCAGCCATGCAAGGCGCCATGGCGATGAAACACTATACATTGAACACGTAATACGCACGTGCATGTCATGACGTCATCGTCTTCAGAGATTCTTGTTTTTGTTGTTTACACAGAGACTGCTTTCAAAAACTTGCACTTTGAAACCCGTTTTCAAAAGTTTGCGTTTTCAGCCGCCCAAAACACTGTTGTCGTGTCAATGAACGACCAAAACGCATAAGAAGTCTTCTGTTTTAAGTTGCAAACGGTGAGAACAACATAATCTTTCTTTGTCACCACTGGTGGAATTAGTTTCAGTTTCATGTCATTGTTAAACTCAAAACAGCAACTTTTGGTTTCCAGCCACAAATGTGGTTTCTTTGTTCTGTTGAACACAAAAGAAGTTATTTTGAAGAATGTGGGTATTCAGACAGTTGCTGGTCCCCAATGACTAACATAGTGTGGTAAAACTACTGTTATATACTGAATAGAATAGAACAGAGTAGAATGTGCTTCACATGTGTTTCAACACCTCCTCCTGTAGGTGTACACTGCTCAGACGGTGTTCAAGGTCCTGAAGTTCGTCCTGATCGTGAGCTACACTACTCCTCTCCTGAGCTCCATCTCTTTCAGTCACGTCTGCCAGCTTCACTCTCACGCTCTGACCGGCTACAGCCTCTTCCAGTGCAGTCACTCGCTGTCCTCCGTCCTGCGCAAGCTGATGCAGGCCTACATCTCGCTGCTGTTTCTGTTTGGCCTGCTGGGCGTCTACGCCCTCTTCTGGATCTTTCACAAGTACGGGCGTCCCGAGACACGAGAGCGCTGTGTCCATGTAGTCTGTAGTCTCCATGTATGAGTGTCGAGAGATTCTAGTGACTGAACCAACGTGTCGTTTTGTGTTCTAAAAAATTTCCTGCATTAGCCCCGCCCACTTTTCAGCGGGATTGGTTCCGTAAATATTTTTTCCACTCCTTTTTTTCCATAGAAATTTCTCGTCCGAAATTTTCGTAGATAAAAAATAAATACGACCTCACGTTATGTCAATCACATTTAAACACTGTCTCCGAAACTTTCATCCATCCTAAACAAATTCGTATCGGGTTCGATTTTCTGCGTTTTTCACGCATTTTGAGGTGTGAAAAAAATGCATACGAAGGACCTTTAGTCTAAAAGTTATAAGGCTTTAACAAAACCAACCAGCCACGAGGTGAATCACAACATTACAAACTTTTATCAAAAATATGTTTGCGTTTATAATAGATTATACAACATATTTTAATCAAGAATTAAGAACCAAAGTTCTTTTGGCGTAATTTGCTCACAGTGACTCTCTGATTGGTGGAATTTTCTGTACAGCATTATGGGTAATGTACAGTTTTTCACCAGGAATTCCTCTGTTAAACAAGTTAAAAAAGTTTTAAAATAGGGCTTCAACAGAAGTTAACTCAGGCTCATAAAGGTTCCTAAGTCAATGTTACAAATCTTTTTACAATTTTTACTTAACCGACAGTTGTAATCTACAATGGTTTGAGATGAAACTATGATGAAATCTTATTGAATATGCCTAATCCTCAGGTCTTTGAGGCAGTACTCTTTCCAGAGTCTACGTGAGAAAGGATCCATGCTAGACGCACCTGACCTTCACAATGACCTGGCGTTCCTCTTGCACATGGCCGACCAGTACGACCCTCTGCTGTCCCAGCGCCTGTCTGTGTTCCTGTCGCCGGTCAGCGAGACTCGCCTGCTGGAGGAGAGCCTGGAGCGGCGCTGGGGAGCCGAACGCTTGCGGTCGATGATCACGAGTGACACGCAGGGCCGATCTCTGCTGCAGCTCGTGGCTCTTCCTCGCCTGCCGCCGGCCCTCTTCACCCTCAGCCAGTTACAGGTGTTGAAGCTGGAGCTGATTGGAGACGCCAAACTCACAGCACAGATATCTAACATGACCGCACTCAGGTGGGTGTTCACATCGACACACAAGACTGCCTTTAGCTTTAAGCACAGAACAAGGTAAAGGTAGAAAAGTGCACATATACATAAGCTGATATTAGGGTTTGCTTGATTGAATTGAGAATGCTTTTCAAATTCCAGTTGCATTTCAAATTTGAATGTAAGGAAGTATAATTCAAATTAACTGGAATTAAATTCATATAGAATTCAAATTTTCTAGTTAACAGTTTAACTAGAAAAAAAGAGAGTTTATAGGCCTTACGGACAGAGCGAGAACAACAGACAGACAGATATAAAGATAGATAGATAGATAGATAGATAGATAGATAGATAGATAGATAGATAGATAGATAGATAGATAGATAGATAGATAGATAGACAGACAGACAGACAGACAGACAGACAGACAGACAGACAGACAGACAGACAGACAGACTGCACACAATGTGACATGAGCACTAAAGACTCTGACACATAACTGTTTCTGAGATGTCCTGTAGACCAGAGGTTGTTGTATGAGTTGATGAGGCGTGTCTTCTCCTCAGGGAGCTGCACCTCTACCACTGCACTGCCTCAGTGGAGCCCGCAGCCCTGCAACACCTTCAGGAACACCTGGAGACCCTGCACCTCACCTTCACCCACGCCTCCGAGATCCCGGCCTGGGTCTACTCCCTCCGCGGCCTGCAGGAGCTGCACCTGAGCGGGAGGTTGAGCAGCGAGGGCGGGATGGGGCGCGGCTGGGCCCTCATGAGCCTCCGACAGCTGCGGCACCTGCGCGTCCTGGTGCTGCGCGGCGCGCTCCAGACAATCCCGGGGGAGCTCAGTGATTTAGCCGGGAGTCTGGTAAAACTGGAGATATACAATGAGGGCACTAGGTTGTTGGTGCTTACGGGACTGAGGCGCTTAACCGGATTAGCAGAGGTGCAGCTGAACGGATGCCAGTTGGAAAGATTGCCATCAGCGCTGCTAGCGCTCACAGGTCTACGTATTTTAGACCTGCAACACAATAGCCTGCGTACCTTAGAGGAGCTGTTGGGATTGCAGCATCTGCGCCGTTTGTCCGGTCTACGACTTGCTTGTAATCAGGTCTTGGCTCTTCCGGCTACTGTAGGAGTGCTGCGCTCGCTAGAGCTCTTGGATTTAGCGCAAAATCAGCTGCGAAACTTACCGTCGGCTCTCTTCACACTACGCAGACTGCGACGCCTCCTGCTGGCCGGGAATCTTCTGGAAGTGCTTCCGGCGGAGGTCGGCGCTCTGACGCTGCTTAGCGAACTGGACCTCAGCGCTAACCGACTCGAACGCCTTCCCAAAGAGCTGTTTGGAAGCTGCGTAGAACTTCGCAGCTTGAACGTTGCGAATAACTCGCTGGGATCTTTGCCGGCGGGTCTGGGCGGCTTGACTCAGCTGTCCCGTCTGGATGTGCGGGGAAACAGTCTGGAGGAGCTTCCCGTCGAGCTGGGGAGCTGTTTTGGGCTCCGTGGAGGCGGGTTTCTTGCGGAAAACTGGCTGATGCACACCTTACCTCCGCAGGTCAGGGACGTCCTGCAGCAGACCGGCTCTTCTGAACCTCCGTCACGACCCAATTCGGATTGTTTTCCTAACTTTTCGACTGCGCAGTGGAGCTTTCACTCCGCACTGGAATCTCGGATATAAAAAACGATAGCTTCAAAGTGAACTTATGGACTCTGGGGTTTGTTTTTTCATAAACCATATTTTAACAACCCTTGTGGGAAAAGTAGTACACTTTGGTATACCTTTAAAAAGAGTTCTTAAGAAAACTATGTACTTTAAAAAGAATATACTTAAGTGTGAGATGAGTGTGCACTGCACTCAGAAGAAAAGGTTCTAAATGGAACTTTAAAGGATTATGTCAGATGCATCATTTGTGGAACCTTTACATTTTTGGAACCTTTCATTTGTTCCTTTCATAAAATAATATACTTAAAGGCCCACTGAAGTGCCATGGAACGCGCACCTTTGTTTGATGCGTTGACGTAATTTCCACTGAAACAGGACGCTTTTCAAATAGCCAATAGCGTTTAGTTTACCTCACAGCCTGCGAGTCGTATTTCACAGCACCATGGAAGCGAATCCAAGCGCTGATGATAAATTGGATTCACTTACACTTTAGTATACCTTTAAAAAGAGTTCTTAAAGGCACACTATGTAAGATCTTTGGATCAAAATATTCAAACACCACTAGAACAATGTTATATATTTTATTAATTTGAGACGCTTTAATATGCGTTTATTAGACAGGTAAGCAACGATTTGGATAAATTCACCGACAGAAAACTAATCATTGTTATATAGCTCAACACAGTTAGTCTTTTTGTTTAAATCTCGTTTTTTTTTATTTACCGCGACTCCGCGAGTGCCATATTTACCATGCCTAATATGGATTTAGCTCACTGCAGTGTGCAACAAGTGTCTCATATAGTAGCTGTTGAGCGAATGCACAAAGTAGCATTATAACAACTTTCAACACACTAAAATGTATCTAATATGATAAAACAGCGCTGCGTTACCCCACATGCGCATGACCAGAAGAAGCAGAAGCGGTTGTGTGTTGCGCTCGACTCTCATTAGCAATTGCTCCAGCGGCCTTGTTTCTTTCCAACGGATTTCATAACGTTAATAAATCTTTAATACATTACCGGTAATCAATGAATATGACTTCTGTAGAGGTGAAGACAACAACTCCTATGATTCCACAAAATCAAGGCTTCATCAACACCTTTGTTTTGAATAAACGACCTCTAGTGGCGAAAAATGACATAGTCGGCCTTTTAAGAAAACAAATAAATTCTTAAACAAGTATATTCTTTAAAAGAAGTGTGAAATGAGTGTGCACTCAGAAGAAAAGGTTCTATATGGAACTTTGAAGGATTATGTCAGGCGCATCATTGTTGGAACCTTTTATGTGTTCCTATCATGACATAATTTTATAGATTATGTTTTAATTTGTTTATTCATTTTTAATTGTCATTCCATTTTATGAATTAAACAGTTCTTACACATACTTTTTCACTAGGCAAAATTGAAATAACCTGTAAAACATGAAAGAATTATGCAATCATTTCTCCCTATAGGACCTTTTTGGCATAAAGGCTTCTTTGAAATTGGGTCAAGAACCCTAAAGTTCTATAGAGAAACCCATTGTTCCTATAGGAAACAATTTTTCTATTGTCTTTGAAATATGTTTAAAGTGTACTGCTAAATGAAAAGCATTTATAGTAAACCAAAATATTTCATTGTCATTTCTATTGAAACGTGTGTCATATTTTTATGTCATAAGTTAAAAACATGAACTTATTAAATGTTATATCAAATAACACGCTACAGTTAAAAGGTACATTACCTGTGTTTTAATTATGTTAATCAAAATAATAAGTGTGCTTTGATAAAGCATGACAAGATCATCAAAACATAATGGTTTAAAATGTACTTTGAACTAAAACTTTTAATTTGCCATTATTACTAAGTGAACATTTTTTTTAAACTGTACTTAAAGAAAATTTACTTTTTCACTCACTTAAGTGGCCTTTTATTTCATTAATATTATAATATCTGAAAGTACTTTTTTTATTTTTTTTAAATACACTTTTAAGATGATACCATTCCTATATTATTATTATGATAATAATATTACTAAACTGAGTCTGGAAGAGCCAATCTCTTCCCTAGAAGACTTTTGATGTAACATCTATGGATAAACTGATGTGATGACTGACAAAATTAAAAACATTTTACCTTAATTAATAGGTTGATGTCACTGACCCAATGTGTGAGGCCCAATTAACCCATTGTAAACCTTTCTAATCTTGACAAACTATATAGGCTGTAATTTTAAAGCTCTTACGACTCTAGTTTACATAGTTGGTGACTGTTTTTTATTAATTTGTGATAACTAAGCGGAGTCATAAGGCGAGTTCAGACCTTTTTTTTTATGAAATAGTGATGCACATTCTAGTTTTGTCACTAAAAATGTTTAAAATATAAAGAAATATTGACAGATATTCATTTATGATGCATTATGTCTTCAACGCAAACTATAATGCACGTCTGATTGCTTTCCACATGTCCTTTTTACGTGTTTGTTAGATGTTGAATTCAAATAAAATAGTCATATTGCCCATACAAAAAAAAATGTATTACAAGTTTTTGTTTCAGTTATATGTCAACAAGATTCAACAAGACATTTTCACCTGGCTAGGCCCAATGTTTAGATCTGTTGTGGTATCTATGCAAATAAGCACATACGTAATTAGATTATGCACTGTTTGTCCATGTTAACAAACAATTTAAAACAATGTGTAATACATTTTTTGTTTCTAAAGGTTCAAACTTTTACCCTATTCAGGTGAGAAAAATAATGAATAGGCGTATGAATAGGCTATATTTGGGTCTTTTTCGAAACTTTCCCCTAATGGGATTCTTCGGGGCTTTTTTCTCTTACTCAGGACCATAGACTGTAAACAAATCAGTTGAGTTTGCTTCTGTTGCAATTTGTTCTACCTTTTTATTTTATACTTTAATAAAAAGTCTTAATCAAGACTTTTAAGTCATAATTTCGTTTTAGTATGTCATAATTTCGACGTTTATATCACAATTATGATTGTTTTTGTGTAACGTTAGCGGAAATGGGTTTCCATAATATGGCGCAGTATATAAATGATTTAATAGCATAAGTTTACTGTTTTAAGTCATTTATATTAATATTCCTTCCTAAACTACTAGCAAATATAATCAAACGTTTCATTCACCTTCAGAAACTTCAGAAGAGAGCTACAAAAATCCCGCCTACCTCAAACGCGCCCAACGCGAGCACTACTTCAACGCCCCAAAGTTCAAGTTCCAACATCCAATCACTACACGGTTTATTTTCATTCGTGGGAAACTGACGCGTTCGCCAGCCAATGAGCGCGCTTGTTCTTCAGGAGGCGGGATATCCGGGCGGGAGTATAAACTGCGGCCTGTCTTCGCGTGTGGTTAGAGACAGCAGTGCTTCTTCATACGTATTCCTCGCGCACCATCACCTACAGGTAATGTAAGATGAGTTCTCAATTAAACCTAGCACGGTTTTTCCTCATAACTTGATTTATTGTACATATACCCCTGTGTATTGTATTTAACAGTGACGTTTCTTATGAGATCGAAGCGCTATGTCATTAGCTCGTTAGCTGCGCGTGCTAACAACAGCGCACGATAGGAAGAGAGCGCGTGCGCGAATTTATTTTCTGTTGTTATAATATATTTCAGTGTTTCGCGGCTTCGATACTGGTAAACTGCATTTAACATACGCCCGTGTGTGAGATTTAGTTCATTTTTAAGCGTCTCCGTCATTAATATACCATAGTAAACGACGCTCTATTGTCCGCCGCGCGTTCGCGACGAAACGTTCGTTACAAGAGTTTCACATCTAGACTAAAGTGAATTTCTCTTGTGCTCAGCAACACAATAGCGTGAACCGTGATCGCTTTAAATATCTACATATAACTTCATATGAAAGCGTCATAACATTGACGTGAAAGGCCGTAGGGTTGTAATCGGGGCCCGGTCCAGTTTCACTGAACTCGCTGCGTAGTAACAATAGGTATCGCGATGTTTATTTTGCTCTGCTTTGACTTTTTCTATTTGCCTATGAACCATGTACTAGGTTAACAAAATATATGGGTTACACTTTATTTTAATGTGACGTAGTTACATTTTACTTGCTCAAATAAGTACTGTTTAATACTAATTAACTGTGTGTACGTGCTAAAGAGTTACGGTTTAGCGTTCGTTACATTTAATTATGCATAAATTATTGTTATTACTATAGTAGTTACACGTAATTACTAAACTGTGTACTTATTACGAGTTAGGGTTTTACATTTTAATTATGCATAATAAACAACTGTTATTACTATAGTAGTTCCACGTTTTTGCTATAGTAGTAACGTGTAACTACGTCACCTCAAAATATAGTGTTACCAAAATATGTTCCACGAGCATTTGGTCTCATTAAGCTGTGAAGACATTATTTGTGAACGTTTAAAACGCCCAGTTGTGTACGTTCCTGACTCAATAGTGATCAGGCTGGTTTGTTTACATGGTTTCTGTCCTGTGGGTTTATTTTGGCTTAATTTCATGTCGTAGTCGTCTAACTTTTCTCCATGTGTTCCCTAATGGCTCGCTCCTTTTGAACTGAAAGTGTGAATCTGGTGGAGGTGTGATTTAAATGTCCTGCTGCTTTATAATTGGGTCTTCTCACTGCTTTTGTCTCCAGAATGGCTGAGAATGATGTTGAAAACGAGCTGCTGGATTACGAAGAGGACGAGGAGCCGCAAGGAGCCCCAGAGAGCGTCGCTCCGGTGGGCAAGAAGGAGGTGAAGGGCTCGTACGTCTCCATCCACAGCTCGGGCTTCAGGGACTTTCTGCTCAAGCCGGAGCTGCTGAGGGCCATCGTGGACTGCGGGTTCGAGCATCCGTCTGAAGGTCAGACACGCGCTTCTTAGGGCTGGCTAGATGTGCAAGCGCTTGATTCAATTCCCGATTCGACTCCATGAATATAGTTTTTATACAAATCCTATCTTTATAAAAAAAAACAGTGAACACAAGTTTACAAGTAGTTAATAAGAAATTAAGAGCCACACACCTGTATATTTAACTCTTTTTATTTTAGGTAGACTTGGGTACATTAAAGGGTTAGTTCACCCAAAAATTAAAATGATGTCATTAATGACTCACCCTCATGTCGTCCCAAGCCCGTAAGACCTCCGTTCATCTT